TGCTGAAGTAGCTGAAGTGATCTCCATTTTTATGGACCTGCACCCGCTCGCCGTCGTACTTGATCTCGGCGTACATCCCGTTGGGACACTTCTTCATGGCGTACTCGATGGACTTGCAGGCTTCAGCCTTGGAGAGGTGGGGGGAGACAAGTTCCAAGCTCAGTTGATACATTTAAAAATCAAGCTACTCTTACCAAAGTTCATGAATAAACTACCAATTCCTTTGTAGAGCTTTTTGTCCAGGCTCTCTTGATACCCAGTCCAAGTTTTCCTTTTCTTAATTACTCATTTACTTAGAATCACCTGCATATGGCCAGATGATCAGCTTTTTGGTGCTTATCTCCTGAAAATACTTAAAAGGTGTAAGAACTGTGCCTTTTGTAGGAACATGTGTAGACCAGAAGTAAATACTTGGATTTGTTCAAACAAAACCCCAAACTTATCTGAATCTCTAATCCAATGGAAAACTTATGCTATTCCAGAGAAAGAACCAACTTCTAGAATGACAGCAAACAAACAAAGTCACTTCTAGACTGAAAGCAAGTCAAGATTTTAGCTTCTGCAGGCACTAAAGGTGGGAGCACCAAGGACACTGGCTACTGGCCTCTTGGTAGAACACAATAAAATGGCACTCAACGTTAAACCAGCCCTGAGCCCTCAGCTCACACCAGGCACAGCCACTCAGCCCCCTCCTGGCTCTGAAGGGCGAGGCTCAGGCAGGACACCAGGTCACCAGAGCAGGGAGCAAGGTTACCAGCATGGGCTGCACCGGGGTCATCAGCGAGGCCTGCACGCTCAGGGTTCTCTTCACGCCCGGTGCCGTCTGGGCCTCCTGGCGGTTCCGCAGGACTCGCTCCACCACGTCCTGCAGGTTGCGGGAGGCTTTGAAGGCCTCGTAAGCGTTGGGATCCAAAGCATCCAACCTTCAACACATTGGGAGGGAAACACGGATCATCCTCAGCTCTGCTGCTCCTGGCTTACCACACCAGTGCCCACTTCTGGTTTGATCTCACAGAGAAAGGCAAGACTTACACATGCTTTGCTCCAGCATTCATTTTCAAGTCGTGTTTAATTAGCCTGATGATGCACTTCAGGTCGTTGCCCGTACATCTGGAATATGAGAGAAGATTCAGACAGGGCAGACATTTAACTGAACTACTTTGCACCTGAAAAAAATAAACTGACCCAGGCCTTTGTAAAAAAAGGTCCTCCCCTTCTGTAGGGTTTAAACCCCAATAAGGCCACATGTTACTAGTGACATCTCAGAGGCACGAGAGAACATCCAAAAAGCTTTTTAGCTTCCTTATGTTTCAATGCCAACATTAATTCTGCCTCAGTGTTGACATAACTTCCAAAATCCACTTAGTACATCAAGAGTAAGTGATAGTAACAGCCTCACCTCAACACAAACTGAGTAAGACCAAGACTCTTCAACACGTCTATATGGCTTGAAGGTTCTTCCCAACCTATCTAAGAACAGCAACTCAATTAACAGCCAAGTACCATTAAGGCAGTTCTGCAGCCACTTGTTTAGCACTGACTGAGCAGGGTCTCGACAGGCCAGAGATTCTCTGGCATGGACAGGAGCCACACATTCTCCTCTGCTGGTCAGCAGTCAAGGTGTCTTGCTCAAACCACTAACAGGGGCTGACAGCTGTCAAGTTCAGTCTCTGTGGCTCACAATTAGTTTTTCCCCTGTGCCAGCCTGCAAGATGTAGATCACCACTCCTGGCTTCAGGCTAGACCTTCAGAGGTTGGTGACTTCCTCACCTGCGAGTGATGCGTTGCAGCACACTTTGCTGGTCATCCTCCTTGGTAAGCTTTGACAGCTGGATGAGGAATTCATCCACCTCTTGGATGGTCAGGTGACTTTTGGCTGCTGGAGGACAAGTCTTGCTCTGTTCAAAGAAGAGGCGTATGGTCTCGGAAACATCTCCCTGTCTCCAGAAACAAACGAGGAGGTGGATCAGTTATGGCTGGAGAATGGGGACATCACTGGGGATGCAACATGGTTCCAGTAAGTACAAGTAGGATAAAGCACAGAATGATGCTGGGATCATACGAAGGAACTGGAATCAAACATTAGAAAGAAGCTGCCACACACAACACAGAACAGAGCTTCCCAGCTGTGTCATTGGAAAAGAAAAAGGTGAAGTACCAGTATCATCTCATTGTTCTAGTTTTCAATGCTGCAGCACCACAGACCCTTTATTTCCTCAGGATGAATCCACTTGTAAGTTCAAGGATCTCAAACAGCCTAGTGATGTCACTAGAAGGCTGTATATATCAAGGCAATAAACAGAGGTAAAATAATTAGCTTTGTTGTCTAATAAATCCATTTTTCTCCATTTTGCAATGAATCAGATGTGCACACACAACTCCCAGCTCCTGTACACAGCAATTAAATGCAGACATGAGCAATTGCAGCTTAGTTGTATAAGCCAACTGAAGCTCACAGAAACAGATCTGTTGCTTGAATCAGTTTTGGATATATGATGTTACAAAAAGTGATTTCCATCAGTTGATATGCTGGACAAAGCAGTTCAGTCAGAGCAGATGCAGCCCAACTTGACCAGACATTCACATCAGCCAAGCACCTTTCAAACAGGGGTTTAAAAAACCAAAGCAAAACAACATAGAATTTCCATACTAAGGGACTGAACATCAGAAATGAAGAGACCTTCTGTTTGTACTCACTTGTTCCAGGTCCCGGACCATTTCTTCTTGGCTGCAGTTAAAAATCCTACTGAAGAGTTTTACAATCTGCTTATCATTCAAATTGTAAACAATTTTAATGACACCTGGTAACAGCAGCTTAATGGTCAGGTACACATCACCATGAAAGCCATCTGGGAAAAAAGCACAGAGCATTAGAAATGTCAGTCACAATTATTTTCACATGCAGGTGCTGGTTGTTTGTGCTCATTTGCATGACTCTGGGGGGGAAAGAAACCACCACAGCTGGGGCTTCCTCCTTCCCCCATGCTGTTCTGCTCCACCTGAAAGGAGGCTTCTCAGAGGAAACACAAGTGTCCTCCAGACCTGATCTCAGCACTAGGTTTGCTGGCACATACAAACATTCCACCCACTCCAGCCTAAGACATTATTGTCTGAATTGCTTATTTAGATAAACAGTTGGGTTTGCTAATGTTACCTCCACAGTTCAGAAACAATCCCAGCATGAAGCTGGAACCACACAGCAACCAGACTGCACCTCCCCCCTGCTTCTGATGAATGCCTTTGCCTTTGCGGGGCCTTCACACGCCGAGGACGCCAAGCAAGAATCCTACCTCCTCCCGAGCCCTTCTTCAGGAAGTCCTGGATGATCTGGGTCTTGACGTTGTAGCTGGGCTTCTCGGCCACCATGGCGCAGAGCTTGCGGAACTCCCGCAGGAGGCAGTCCTTGTGCCCGGGCTCACACTGCTCCGCCGACAGGCTGCGCTGCGGGGGGGCGTTCCCAGCCACGGCTTCGGAATTCTTCGGCTTGGCTGCAGCACAGACCAGAAGCTGCTTTCTTAACAAGTACAACGTGGTGTGAACCCTGAATTGAAGCTACCTCTGCTTGGCAGGCTGAGGAGAACAATCCCAGTTTGCTGGTAAAGCTTCAGAACTCCAGAGCAACGTCTGCTATGCCAAGAAGTGAGGCTTTAAATTCTAAGTCCCACTACGAACTATTCTAAACTATTTTTTCTTTAGTTTTGCTCTTCACAGCAGACCAGAATTTTCTGGACCTTGATTCTGCCAAACAAATGTTAAACCTTGGTGAAAATTTAGTCCTGCTGGCAGATGCTTCTGATTTATTTCTACTTTTTAGACCTTTACAGCAAGATGTTTTCCTAAGAGCACTTCTAAAATAGAGAAAAAAATAATGTTGAGTTCTACATGAGACATGTTTGGTCTGTGACTTAGACTGGCCAATGCACTAAGGCAGCAGTGGAGTCAGCCTGACAATGTGAGTTCCTGCAAGGACTTTGTTTCCTTGGAAATACTAGAAACTCAAACATTGGCTTTTTCAAGACTGGCAGCCTAAGAAAGTACTAATCCTTTTTGGAAAATCAGATTTTTAAAAAGTAATTAAAACTAAACCATCTTCTATAGCTAAGAAACTACTGCTCTAAGTAAAAACACTTTTGATGCTGATATTAGAAGAGAAGGATTTCTCAGAATCAGTTTCTTAAGTCCTACCTGTGAAGCCAGAGAACTTCTTTGGTGATGGAGTGATGAGAGGATCTTTTGTAGTTAGTTGTCCTGTGGCAGTGAGCTTAGCTTGGACTATCACTTTCTTCTTGGGTGTACTTCCAGTCTTGGAATTAGCTTCTGTAAAACATCAACGTTCAAACCAGCAGTCAGAAATAATTTCAGACACCCTTCAACTGTTACATAAAACATGCTGCAGCAAACGAGTCTTAAAAGAACTGGGGATTGAGGAGAAAAAATATGAAGGAACAATTTTCAGATACTAAAAGTTAGAAGACCACATAATTTACTAAACATCATGGAAAATGAGTTAATTTTTAACTGATGTTTCCTCCTGGGATCTATCTGCACATGAATTAATCCACCAAGACCTTCACCATAATCTGTTGTGACAATTTAAACAGGAAGTGCTGTTGTACCAGTGACTACTGCTTCCCTTTCCTACAGGGCCTGAGACACAGATGTGAGCATCACTACCCAGGCTGTCACCAGGTGACAGTGACACACCAGTGAAACTTCATGGTAAAGGCACAGCTGCAGGGCAACCAGCAGCATCCCCTGAAAACGAGTAAAGCAGAGCAGTGACTTGAGTGCTGCCTCGTGTCTCACCTGAGATGTGCTTGTTGATTAATTCCTTCTCCCCATCCTGGAGCTCCTCCCAGCCTTCCAAGTCTGTGATGTCTTCGATTTTCTTGGTGGTGGCCCGAGCTTTGTCCAGCTTCTCAAACATGCACTTCACATGGTACCACTCCTTCATGTCCCCGCCAGACTCCGTGAAAGGGTTGGGAACAATCTTCCCAATGCGCACCATCCCCTTCACTATCTTCTCCTTGCACTTCTTGCAGCCTGCGGTGCCACGCTTGGCATAGTCCACACAGTACCTCTGCTCTGCCATGGCCTCTGCTGCTGAGCAGGCCGGGCGAAGACAAGGGCTCAGGAGCTGGGAGAGCTGGGGAGCCCGAGCAGCACCGCGCTG